GTCTTTTTCAATCTGGAATATTCCTGAGCCTTTCTTTGGCTCCTATGACCTGGATACTGTTAAAGAGACAGGACAGTTATTTGGAGAATATCTGTTTATGTTTGATGTTTCCTCTTAATTAGATTCAGGTCATGCATCTTTTTTTTTTTTTTTAAGATTTTATTTATTTTGAGAGAGAGAGAGAACGAGCAGGGAGGAGGGGCAAAGGGAGAGAGAGAGAGAAGCAGACTCCTGGACTGAGCAGGGAGCCCTACGTGGGGCCCAATCCCAGGACCCAGAGATCATGACCTGAGCAGAAGTCAGACGCTTAACTGACCCAGGCACCCCTCAGGTCATGCATCTTAGATTCTATTTTTTTTAAGTAATCCCTACACCCAACGTGGGGCTCAAACTCACAACTCCAAGATCGAGTCACACGCTCTACTGACCAAGCCAGCCAGACATCCCATGCATCTTAGATCAGATAGATTAGATTAGATAGAATGTGAATTCTATACATCACAAACTATCACAGAAGTGATGCTGTGTCTTTCTTGTTGCATCATAACAGATGATGCATGACTTCAATTTGTCCCGCTATTGGTAATGTTAACTTCAATCACTTGAATGAGGTGGTATCTTCTAGGCTTCTCCACTGTGCAGTGAATCTGTTCTTTTCCTCATTGAAATTAATAAATAATCCATAGGGAGGTACTTGGAGACCAGGTAAATGTCCCATCTCTCATCAAACTTTCCATTTATTTATGTCCATAGAGACTGATGTAAATGATTCCATGGGTTACAATACATCACTGTTATTCTTTCTTTAGGTGCCAAGTTATCCTAGATTGGCCTGTGGTGGCCCCTTCAGGCTGGCTTCTGTGTCCTTCTGACATGTCACTCATCCTGTGAGCATTTCCTTACTCTCTAGCACAACGTATTTCAGACTCATCTTGTCCTTTTCCTGCCCTAGGCCTGAAAGCAGCCATTTCTCCAAAATGCTGAAGTTCCTTTTAGTGGAGAACGGTATTCAGACACCAAGATCTAGATGTGCTTCCTGTTACTGGGGAGTCACTGCTCCTAGATCCTCTCCGTGGACAGAATTGCACACGCGTGTGCACACCCATATACGCACACATTTATGTCAATATTTGTCTCTATAGTCCTCTGTTATATTAAAAACCATGAGTTTGGGACGCCTGGGTGGCTCAGTCAGTTAAGCATCTGCCTTCAGCTCAGGTCGTGATCCCGGAGTCCTGGGATTGAGTCCCGCATCGGGCTCCCTGCTCACGGGGGAGTCTGCTTCTCCCTCTCCCTCTGCCTGCCACTTTCCCTGCTTGAGCTCTCTCTCTCTCTCTCTCTCTGACAAATAACTAAATAAAATCTTAAAAAAAAAAAAAAAACAAAGAATAAAACCATGAGTTCATCCTAATAGATCCAATTACAATCTAAGTCCATGGAGCTAAGTCCCATTTTTCCCATTTCCACTTGGTAACTCCCTTGTTCAACAGTGACGAACCTGACATTCTTGTTGTTTTCAGTGTGTTCCGCTTCTTTGGCCCCAAGTGCAATAATTTCTTACTGTCGATGCCACCCTCTTCCCAACAAGGATGCCCTTTACAGCCCACTGGAGCTCGGGTTGCCTTCCTGCGGGGATGCGCTCCTCACTCTCATGAGCTCTGGCCGCCCATGCTGGGCTCCCCTCACCCCATGCAGACGCTCTTCTGACCCCATGGGGACTATGACACTTGTCTGTGTGAGGCACAATGTACCCTCTCCCCGTTCCCCCACTGCTGCTGCTTACCTTGCTGGGACCCTCCAAATGGCTCTTGGGTTGAATGGCTCAAGAACAGAAGGGAGGGGAAAGGAAGGGAAAGGAGGAGACATGGAAGGAAGAGGGGAGGGGCCATGTGTTGAATGTTTACTCTGAACCAAAGAGAACAGAGGATGAAATCATCAATAAGTAAGGTGTCATGGGGGGGAATACAGCCAGACACAGAAGAGCTGCCTCATCTCTTTGGACTGTTGGGCCATCCCACTCGCCCCATCAGCTGCAAACTCCCTCCCAAGTCCATCTGCTCGACCAGCTTAGCCAGCAGGAGTCTACTCTTGTGGCTGGAAATGACTCAGGGGGTTGAGGTGCTCGCCGTACACAGTTTCATCATCTTCCCAAGCCAGCCCCACCCAGACTTAATAGCTTCTTCCCAAACTGAATCATCCAATCCTGGCTACTCAGACTGTCTCTCCCCAACGGCAGCTGTTGGGATGGATAAAGTAGGCCAAATCCATGGTCTTTTTGACATTTTATCCTCAGCCTTCCCATAGGCACCAGTAATAATAACAATAACGACAGGTCCTGTTTTTTGAGCATTTACTGTGTTTGAAGCCCGACACCTCCACTTTCTAGCTGGGTGGCCGTGGACCAGTCATTTCCTGTGTGAGTTTCCTGGGGCTGCTATGTTGCAAAGGCCCACAAGCCTGGTGGTTTAAAACAATCAAAAATTTATTCTCTCTGTTTTGGAGGCCAGAAGTCTGAAATCCATGCCACCAGGGCAAAATCAAGGTGTCAGCATCACAGCAAAGCCCTCAAAAAGTTCTAGAGGAGAATCTGCTCCTTGTCCCTTCCAGCTTCTGGGGACTCCGGGCATCCTTTGGCTTGGGGCTGCATGGCTCCAGTATCTGTCTCTGTCTTCACATGGCTTTCCTGGTATGTGTACAGCCCCCCATCTCTGTCTTATAAGAGTGCTTGTGATGGCAGTTAGAGCCCAGCCAGATAATGCAGGATAATCCCTCCATCACAGAATCCTTAAGTCAATCACATCTGCCAAGACCCCTTTTCCACATAAGGTCATATTGAGCGGTTCCAGGGATTGGGAGCCCATCTCTTTGGGGACCCATTCATTACTCAGCCTAGCACACTTTCCCTCTCTAACCCTCCGTGGTCTTGTTGGGGAACAAGAACCTCCTGTCCCCTCAAGGTCCTAGTTGGACCAAGAATCAAATTGATGGGGGCACCTGGGTGGCTCAGTCGTTAAGCGTCTGCCTTCATCTCAGGTCATGATCCCAGGGTCCCAGGATCGAGAAGCAGAGCAGGAAGCCTGCTTCTCCCTCTCCCACTCCCCCTGCTTGTGTTCCCTCTCTCTCTGTGTCTCTCTCTGTCAAATAAATAAATAAAATCTTTTTTAAAAAAAGAATCAAATTGACGTAAAACAGATTAATAGGAGAAAATCAGATGTGATTTTGTGTGTACGGGGAATCCATGTAGACATGGAAATTCCAAAGACAGGCACAAGGAGGTGTACGTGTCATGCTGAACTAAGGAGAAGGGGGTAGGGGGTCCAGGACTTCGAAGAGAAGGAATGCAATTCATAGGAAGTTAAGAAATATATAAATATATATATAAATAAATAAATATTTGGTGGGGGGGCGCCTGAGTGGCTCCGTTGGTTAAGCGTCTGCCTTTCGATCAGGTCATGATCCCAGGATCCTGGGATCGAGCCCCACGTTGGGCTCCCTGCTCAGCTGGGAGCCTGCTTCTCCCTCTCCCTCTGCTGCTCCCCCTGCTCGTACTCAGTCTCTCCCTGTCCAATAAATAAATAAAATCTTTAAAAAACAAAAAAAGTAAATATTTGGTAAATACATGTTTGCTGGGCTGCTCAGAAACAACGGGACATGGAGAGGACTTTGATCAAAGTGGCCTTGCTGGGTCCCTCCCTGTCCACCGTCCCTTGTTCATACCATAATGTAGTTCTATATGGTGCTAGCCCTCTTCCCGGAGCAGGTCCTCTATCTAAATTCTTTTTAGACAGTTCTAGGAGAAGGTAAAGCGCTTTTCCCGAAGCTGCTGGGGTTTGATGGCTTTTTAACTCACCATCATCTTCATGCCAATGTGGCCCATCTTGGGGCGGCCCGCCTTGGCCCCCATGGTCTCATCAGTGAAAGGAGGATGGTAGGTCACGGTCACGACCTCCGACGTGAGGTTGAAGGGGTTAATGTAAATCAGGCAGTCGGCAAGTTGGCAGGCAGGCAGCCCTCCATGAATGGGGTGGTTATTATGAATTGATTTCTTGAGTTATTTCTACCCAGGATTGGCAGTCCTGGGGGTAATTGATTCCAGTGATGTCACCTCTCCAACTGCCAGGTTTTCGGCAGGACTAAATGTGCCAAATGGGCTTTGTTGAGCCAACTCCTCTGGGTGTGAAGAGCCGCCATGCCAACCCGCCTTGCTGTTTCCAGGGCCCGTCTGCTGCTTTTCCCTAATTAACGTGTAGGCGACACCGCGGGCAGGCCCGCTTGCTGCCGTCCCCGGAAAACGGCACAGCGCACTGCAGCTCAGTATTTGCACATTTTTTCAGCTACTGGATGGAAAAAGTACTGGGGGGCATTGAAACAGCACAGAGTAGAGGAAAGGGAGAAATACCACCTCATCCTTGCCCCCATACGGAAAATGCTGCAAGCGGACCCAAGCATTGTGTCCCCGGCCCAACACATCACAGCAAACGACCACTGTTAATCAATTGGAGAAATACAGAAATTGAAAGCTAGTCTTCTTCATTCCACTCAATTCCACAGACTTTTTAATTTTTTTATTTTTAAAAATTATTTATTTATTTATTTATTTGAGAGAGTGAGTGAGAGAGAGACAGAGAGAGAAGGAGCAGGGGCAGAGGCAGAGGGCGAGGGAGAAGCAGACTGCCCCACTGAGCAGGGAGCCAGCCATGGGGCTCAATCCCGGGACTCCAGGAGCATAACCTGAGCCGAAAGCAGATGTTTAACCGACTGAGCCACGCAGGCGCCCTTCTTCTCTCCCCCTTTTTTTTTAGTTTTTTTTTTTTTTTAAGATTGTATTTATTTATTTTGACAGAGAGAGACACAGCAAGAGAGGGAACACAAGCAGGGGGAGTGGGAGAGGGAGAAGCAGGCTTCCCGCCGAGCAGGGAGCCCGATGCGGGGCTCGATCCCAGGACCCTGAAATCACAACCTGAGCCGAAGGCAGACGCTTAACTACTGAGCCACCCAGGCGCCCCTCTTCTCCCTTTTTTAATAGGAATAAATCATGCACCAAATCTGAGCATCTGAAAATGAGGAGGCAAGGGAACAGATAAGAACACAGACTCTGGAATCTGACAGACACGGGATCAAACCCTAGGTGTTCTGCTTCCAGCTGTGTGACCTTGAGCAAATGACATCATCTCTCTGAGCCTCAGCTTCCTCATCTGTAAAATGGGGATCCTAATGGCACTTCCTTCCAAGTGCCAAGGACAATATTCAGGGAGATGGCATATTTAAATATTCAGCTGGGACACACCTTGGCACTTGACAGAGGTCCCATGGGGATGCCGAGGGTGATGTTGCCGACTATCAACATGTCCTCCCCAGCTCTCAGAAATTCGGGGTAAAAGCAGGGAGTCCAGGAAAGTGGAAAGCACCCAGGCCCACCTGTCAGGGGACCTAAGATCTGGTTCTAACTCTGTGGATCGGTTTCAAGACTTGATGTCCCTCTTTGAGCCTCATTTTCCCCGAGGGTTAAGGGAGGAGGCCTGGCACGATAATTTCAGAGGTCCCTCCCTCTGTCACGGGCACACTAGGAAGGCACACACACAAAATGTGTCTTTCCACAATGTCAGCTTTATTCAGTCATAAAGCAAGGCTCACATAATTATAGAGCAGGTTCAGAATTCCAAACTCAATGACATTTCACCACGTGACTAACTTGGCTTCTTACATGGCACGCAGAGCAGAACACAAATCACACAACAAACAAGATAACAGAGGGGGGAGGAAGTTAATGAAGAAAAAAAGAAAAAACGCGGAATCAGTCTGTGGGTGCACCGTTGAGATGAGACCTGGGCCTAGTCCCGGGTCAGCTCTTGGCACTTACTGCTTCTTATTCTGTTCAAGCGGCGAAGGATCTCAGTTCTGTTGGGGGATCCAACAGGCAGAGCCTTCGGGGGCCGCTGCCTTTTTTAAGTGGCCAGGCATAGAGGGGTCATGGCTCAAGAGTCTGACAGTCTCAGCTCCTGCTTGTTATCAGCTCTGGAGCGTGGTCAGCTGGTGGATATCTCGTAGCCGAGGTACCCTTAACGGCTGGCGTCATTGCTCCGCACAGGCCCCTGCTTGACATGAGTGACTCCATCTTGCTCTCTACGTCCTTCTACTTTCTAATTCCAATAGTGGCTTTGGGGTGCAGGGGGCCCTGTCCCTCACTCCTGCTGCCCTTCCCCCAGGACCCAGGCCAGTCACGTGAGCACTTTGTTGTCCTGGTGAGGGTGGTGCAGTGGCACACCTGAGGAGACAGGACAAGTGGGGAAGATTTTCCCAGGGACTAAGGCTCTTGAAATTCAGTAGAGGAGTTTGGGAACACCCCAGGTGCTTGCTCAACCGAGATTGCACTCGCTTTCAAGAACCAGTCCTGGCACATGGCCCAGGTTGGGGGCAAACATCTCCAGCAAAGGTGTGGCCCTCCAGCTCCAGTCCCCGTGTCCCCCACTACAAGTGTGCTTAAGTTAGTGTCCCACTGGCCAGAGTTTCACTCACTCCTTCATCCAGTATTTATTAAGCACCTGCTGTGTACCAATCAGTACAACAGAGACAGGGGACACATCGTAGGAACAAGGCAGCGAGGTCCCTGCTCTCATGAAATTCACAGTCTAGTGTGGGCAGGTTATTAATTTTAAAAAAATCATTTCTTTCCCACTGCAGTGAGCACTATGGGAAAAATGCAGTGGGCCCCAAGGCCAGGCAACCTGACCTCATCAGAGAGGATGAGGGAGGGCTTCCCAGAGAAAGGGGCATTTACGAGACCTGAAGGATAAAGAGGAGTTAGAAGCGGTGTAGAGCCTTCCAGGCCGAAGGAACAGCATGGCAGAAACTGGCCATGGGAGTTACAGGAAAGGCCAGTGTGGTGGGCAAGGCTGGCCAAGGGCCAGACCACCACACTGGGCCCGTGGCTTGCTCACAGTATGGGCTTCGTGCAGAGGGAAACGGGGAGCCCAGGAAGGCTCAAGGTTAAGCAGAGAAGGGAGTTGCTCTGACATGATCCACCAGTCACCTTGAACTTAGGAACTTAGGAAGTAGAAGCTCTCTGCCATCCAGGGGTGGCCAGTGGGTGCCCACGTCCAGGAAAGTCACAGAAAACACAAGGCTGGCTTGATGATGCTCCATCTCGGTGGACTGCGACCACATCTGACAGCCCAGCAGAATGGAACCAGTGTGGGCTTTGGGATGGGGACCCTGACTCCCTCTACGGGCCCTGAGAGTCCTCTGCCCACCGGCACGAAGCCTCAGTTTCTCCATCTGAAAAGTGGGGTGGCCATAACCCATACTTTCTGGAGACACTGTGAGAATGGAAGTCACAGGGGCACAGGACAGTCCCTGTCCAACGACTGCTGAGCAGGTACTCGCTGAGGCCACCAGCCGCACTCACTGCTGGCTTGGCCGCTTACCCCGTTTGGGCATGCCTTCCCCATCTCTGGGCCTCAGCTCCCCCTGTGAAAAGTCAGGGGTGAGCTCCACCAAGCTGGCTCAGGTGGTTCTCCCACTGTGGTCTTGGGAGAACCGGCCTGGGGGTGAGGGGGAGGGTGGGGATGTGTGGGGGAGGGGGGACCTCTGACATCAGTTCTCCGGCGGCTGTCGTGGTTCAGGATCAGGAATTACACTCGGGGGCGCCTGGGTGGCTCAGTGGTTAACCGACTGCCTTCGGCTCAGGTCATGATCCCAGGGTCCCGGGATCAAGTCCCGCATCGGGCTCCCTGCTGGGCAGGTAGTCTGCTTCTCCCCCTGACCGTACCCCCTCTTGTGCTCTCTCTGTCTCTCAAATAAATAAATAAAATCTTTAAAAAAAAAAAAAAAAGAATTACACTCGGATTCTAAAAGTGAAGGTCTCGCACATCACATTTTTTTTCTCCCCCAGAAGGCGTGCTATTTGCACGTGGAGCGGCTGTGTCTTCTGAAATGCGGCCGTGGCAAAAGCAACCAGCCTGAGTGATTCAAACTCTATTCTAGGCCCCTCCTGCACCCCTGCGGGGTGGGGGAAGCATTCTTCCAGCAACCTCTCCTCTCTGCGGGCCACGGCAAACTGCCAACCTGCCTAGGGAAAAGGGTATTTGAATATTTTGTTTTCTGCTTTTTTAGCCAGTAATACCTCGGTCACAGAAATACCCATACCCGCCCACAGTGTGATACGTGCCGTGTAAGTATTATTATTGTTATTATCTGTTTCCACAACCTGATTTTGTACATTAAATAATAGCTGAAGCACATGGAGATGGTTGCGCAATACTGTGAGTGTACTTTTTTTTTAAGATTTTATTTATTTATTTGAGAGAGAGAGAGAGCACAAGCCAGGGGGGAGGGGCAGAGGGAGAATCAGGCTCCCCGCTGAGCAGGGAGCCCGATGTGGGGCTCGATCCTAGGACCCTGGGATCATGACCTGAGCCGAAGGCAGACGCTTAACCGACTGAGCCACCCAGGTGCCCCAGTATCTAGTTTTCTTTATTCAAGTTAAAACTATTAATTTCAAGAAATTGATTGACTTATATATATATTACTTATTAATTTTTTTTTAAGATTTTATTTATTTATTTGAGACAGAGAGAATGAGAGACAGAGAGCATGAGAGGGAGGAGGGTCAGAGGGAGAAGCAGGCTTCCCGCCGAACAGGGAGCCCGATGCGGGGCTCGATGCCAGGACCCTGGGACCATGACCTGAGCCGAAGGCAGACGCTTAACGACTGAGCCACCCAGGCGCCCCCACTGTGAGTGTACTTCATGCCACTGCATTACACACTTAAAAATGGTTGATTTTATAAGTATTTTAACGCCCTCCCCCTAAGTGTCATATATATATAGCACTGTGAGCAATGCTGCTCTGGAAAAGTCTGTCGGTGGGAATGCTTCCTGGTAACTGAAAAAATGACTTAAAGCAAGAAGACTCTTTAGTTGATCTTCTAAAAAGGAATCCCATTATCTGTATATACCACATCTTCTCTATCCATTAACAATTCTTTACTGTATACTTAAATCTTTGTTAAGGGGGGGGGGACGCCTGGGTGGCTCCATTGGTTAGGTGACTGCCTTTGGCTCAGGTCATGATCCCAGGATCCTGGGATTGAGCCCCACATCAGGATCCTTGCTCTGCGGGGAGCCTGCTTCTCCCTCTCCCTCTGTCTGCCCCTCTCCCTGCTGTGCTCGCGCTCTCGCTCTCAATCTCTGACAAACAAATAAATAAAATCTTTTTTAAAAAACCAACTTTCGGGGCGCCTGGGTGGCTCAGTCGTTAAGCATCTGCCTTCGGTTCAGGTCATGATCCCAGGGTCCTGGATCGAGCCCCGCATCGGGCTCCCTGCTCAGCCAGGAGCCTGCTTCTCCCTCTCCCACTCCCCCTGCTTGTGTTCCCTCTCTAGCTGTCTCTCTGTCTCTCTGTCAAATAAATAAAATAAAATCTTTAAACAAACAAACAAACAAACAAACTTTCTTAAGGGGGTAGATCTCAAGTTACATGTTTTTTGTTCTGTACCATAAAACAGTAATAAAAGGAAAAACTTAGAAGGAAAAAAAAAAAAAAGAAGCCCAAGCTATGGGGTTGGGCCCCACGGTTGGCTGATTCTGTTTCTGACCTCACCATATCCCCATCAAGGAGCAGATTCTTCTCTCTCCTGCCCTGTGATGATCACAGCCAGCTGGGTCAGGGGGCTTCCTCCCGGTGGGGATATGGCTGCAGCAGTACCCTGGGTCTCCTGCAGATAGGACAACACCCAGCAACCACCCCGCAACACCCAGCAGACATCCCCTGAAGTGTCATTGGGCAGAACTGGGCCCCACGTCCCCTCCCAGACAAGGGCGTGGGGCCACCGCAGTTGGTTTGGACACATCAGGATTTCCTCCTAAAGCACACAGAGGAGGATACTCCACCCCAGTCAGGGTGCAGCTTGAGCAGGGAACCTGGGGGGAATGGCTAGGTTGATCACAACCCCCGATGGGCAAATAAGTAACAATGTCCCAGCGCCTTCCTTTCCCAGACGGGGGACTGAACCCAGCCCTTACGGAGGCAGACGCTACGCAGAAAACCGTCAGTGTCGGGGCCACTGTAACCCCAATAGGGGTCATTTATCAAGTCTGACACTGTGCCTAGCTCTGGGCTAAGGCAGCTGTTACTACCAAACTCATACTATCGTCCCCATCTCACAGATGGGAAAATTGAAGCTCAGAGATACAAAATGATTGAGAGCGGCACGGAGCCTCCTTCCTTCATACTGGCTTGGCCTTGAAAAATAAAAGGAATCCCCAAAACAGTGCCGTTCCATCAGATGAATATATTCTAGCAGCTGGAAGCAGGCTGAATTACGCGAGGGCTCTGAATGGGAGGTTCTGGAACACGATTCCATTTTGCAGCTCCCTCTGCACATAGGAACAGGGTCTGATGCGCTCACCTGATTTACAGATGGCGCATCAGTGGTCATGGGAGGTCCCGAGCACACACCTGAAGAGGGCAGGCTTACCTGGACAGATGTCTCTCAGGGCGATGACCTCCACACTGGGAGGAATGAGGTAAGCACGTGCCAGGAGTGCTCAGAGGGATGAGTGATGTGGCAGTGATGTACCTTTTTCTTTGGGGGGGGGGTAGTAGAAAACAAAAACGAAACCAGATGAAATTGAATGACAGTAATTAAAAGTGTCCCCCTTTCCTCCTGTGGTGGGTGGAGTGATGACCTCCAAAGATGTCCACTTCCCAATCCCAGAAGCTGTGAATATGGTACCTTGGCTATGTGGCAGAAGGGACTTAGCAGATGTGATTAAGGTTAGAAACCTTGGGATGGCGAGGTTATCCTGAATTATCCAAGTGGGTACATGAATCCTTAGAAGTGGAGAAGCTTCCCCAGCTGCAGTCCAAGCAGATGTGACTAGTGAAGAATGGTCAGAGGGGGATGCTCGCTGTAAGCTGTGAAGACGGAGGAAAGCCAAGGAACGGGGCAGCCTCTAGAAGCCTGGAGAAGGCAAAGAAACCCATTTTTCCCCTCAAGCCTGGAGAAAGGAGTGCAGCCCCGCTGACACCTTGAACTCAACCCCATGAGACTTCTGTCCTACAGAAGTACCTAATGAACAGAAGATGTTAGTAATGGAAAAATGAGTATCGAGTATAATGGAACTCTCTGTACTCTTTGCATTTTTCTGTAAATCTAAAACTATTCTAAAATAAAGTTTATTTAAAATACAGATGAGCTTCCAGTTAAATATATCAGTCACTAGGATGATCAGTACAGCAAAGGGAATACAGTCGATAATATTGTAACAACTTTGGGAACAGATGGTGACCACACTCGTTTTGTTGTGTATACAATTGTGGGATGGCTACATTGTGCAGCTGAAACTAACATGATATTGTGTATCCACTCTACTTCAATTAAAACATTACAAAATTTTTTAACTTTTATTTTAATTTTTTTAAATTTAATTTTATTTATTTGACAGAGAGAAACACAGCGAGAGAGGGAACACAAGTAGGGGGAGTGGGAGAGGGAGAAGCAGGCTTCCCGCCGAGCAGGGAGCCAGACATGGAGCTCGATCCCAAGACTGATGCTTAACCACTGAGCCACCCAGGCACTCCTCAATTAAAACGTTTTTAATTAAAAAGAGGGGCACATGGGTGGCTCAGTAGGTTAAGCATCTGCCTTCGCCTCAGGTCATGATCCCACAGTCCTGGGATCCAGCCCCGCATCGAGCCCCGCATCAGGCTCCCTGTTCCTCAGGAAGCCTGCTTCTCCCTCTCCCACTCCCCCTGCTTGTGTTCCCTCTCTCGCTGTGTCTCTCTCTGTCAAATAAATAAATAAAATCTTTAACAAATAAATAATTAAAAAAATAAAAACCTAGGGAGAAATAAAAATTCAAATCACCCTGAATCCTGCCCCCTAGTGATATCCACTGTTGTTGGTGAATGCCTTTTTACTTTTCTCATGGATATCTACATTTATGATTATTCCTATTCTTATTATTAAAACACACAACCGGAGGCTCTGATGGGCAGCCCCATAGCCCCAGGGTCTCCTACAGCACCTGTTGTCTTCAGGGAGGATGGGGAGCCCAGCCCCAGGGAGGAGAGAGAAGCTGGAGGAGTGGCTGATATTGAAACCCTGTGAAAACCCAGCTGAGACCAATGTGCCTGGGCAACGCCACCTACTAATTAAGTGAGGGCACAGTGTGGCCTCCAACGCCATCACAGTTCAGCCAATGGGGAGCTGCTCCCATGTCGTCACACCATCTCTCCAGCCCTGTTTTCTCCTCTCATGCTAGGACATCCAAAGACACAAGTCCAAAAACAGCCTTCCTCACGGCGCTGGCCCAGGGCCCCAGCACGAGCAGCATCCACATGCCAGGCCTTCCCCTCTCCGCCCCCTGCGGGCCACAGTCATCAACCTGTCACTAAATATTTAATATTCCTGAACTCTTTAAATGGCCCAGCTGGTCCACATCTGCTGGCCTCTTTTAAGAACTACACCTGCAGGGCGCCTGGGTGGCTCAGTTGGTTAAGCCACTGCCTTCGGCTCAGGTCATGATCCTGGAGTCCCGGGATCGAGTCCTGCATCAGGCTCCCTGCTCGGCAGGGGGTCTGCTTCTCCCTCTGACCCTCCTCCCGCTCATGCTCTCTGTCTCTCATTCTCTCTGTCTCAAATAAATAAATAAAATCTTAAAAAAAAAAAAAAAAAAAAGAACTACACCTGCAAGTCACAGGCTCCTGGAAAAGCAGTCTGAAGAGGGATCACACGCTCCTGGAGGTTGCGTGTGAATCCTGGTTTGCATAGTCCTTGCTGTGTGACCTCAAGAGAGTGGCTTGACTTCTCAAGGGTCTCAGTTCCCTCATGTACGGGGTGGAGGCAGGACTCCCACGGGCTGGAGGGAGGCTTAAGGGAGCGAATACATCCCAAAGCGTCTGGCACATGGTATTCAAAGAATGTTTTAGTTCCGTTTTGTTGTTCTTTTTGCGTTCTTTCTACATTATGCTTCCCTTTTCCTTTTGGAGAAGAAGAAGGGACTCAAAAGCAGGGAATCTGCTCATTCATTCTCAACAAATATTTATGGTGAGTCTTCCCTGTGCTGGATGCCGGCATTGATCTCAGGATCATGAGTTCGAGCCCTGGGTTGGGTGTAGAAATTACTTAAAAAAATTAAAATCTTTTGGGGCGCCTGTGTGGCTTCGTTGGTTAAGCGTCCAACTCTTGATTTAGGCTCAGGTCATGATCTCAGGGTCCTGGGATCGAGCCCTGCGTCTGGCTCTGTGCTCAGTGGGGAGTCTGCTTCTCCCTCTCCCTCTGCTCCTCCCCCTGCTCATGCGCACATGCGGTTTCTTTCAATCTCTCTCTAAAAAAATAAATCTTTTAAAAAAATAAAAAAAATAAGATCTTTAAAAAAATAATAACATGGGAATAAAATATCTCACAGGGGTCCTGAGAAGAACAAAGGAAAAGATACTGGTAAAGATGCTTAATGAGCTACAGGTAGCTATGTATCATAAGGGTAGAAGTTGAATAAATGGGGGCCAGTGGGGATGGCTGTCCAGCAGAAGATGCCCAGAGACCACGGCCGGAGGACGAGGCTCGTCAAGCCCTAGGACCTGGAGTCCCACTACTGGAGCTTGCTTGTCCTTTAAGGCAATTATACAGATAAGAAAACCAAAGGCCCAGGGAGCAGAGGAGACTCACTCAAGAGGCACAAAATCGGGACCTAAGCCAGGTCTCCCCCTACTCAATTCACATATTTCTTTTCTTCCCCCCAATTCACATATTGCTGAAGTTCCTACCACACTCAGAGAGACCCACCAACAAGCATTTATGTATTGGGCTCTTTTGCTGGGCTGACCCCGGTGGGTAGCTGCTTCCCTGGCCCACTGAGGGGAAGGGGGACACAATGTGGAAAAGTGGCCATGAGCTTGGCCAAAGGGGTAGGGACCAACAGGAGGGTAACCCTGGGGAATCTCATGCATGGAGCAGGGCAGATCCCGAGTCAGCAAGAGTCAAGTAAAGGGAGATGGGAAAAAACAGTACCTACCTGAGATGCACCAGGTGCTCTGCTCTCCACTGAACCCTTCATTTCGTCTCACAAGGGCAATTCTAAGAAAACAGCACTGCTAGTACTCTTGTTAAAGGGTACACTGAGACACATTTAAATTTTCAAGGGTTTATTTGGGTATATATCAATTTTTTTTAACTTTTTTTTTTAAAGATTTTTATTTATTTATTTGACAGAGAAAGAGAGAAAGAGTTCACAAGCAGGGGGAGAGGCAGAGGAAGAGGGAGAAGCCAACTTCCCCCTGAGCAGGGAGCCCGATGTGGGACTCGATCCCAGGACCCTGGATCATGACCTGAGCCGAAGGCAGATGCTAACCGACTGAGCCACCCAGGCGCCCCTGGGTATATATCAATTTTAACTGAGTATCACCAAACCAAAGGTGGGTAGGAGCTCTCTGACAGAAGGCAGGACCTGGGGGGAGAGCTTTTTTAAAGAGAAGAGGCCAAAGCAAAGCAAGGAAATCACTTTATTGGCTACAGCTTATGCAATTGCTTTGTTTGGGAAAGGCTAGGTGGCTCTCTGTGGTTGGCTGTCCTTACATTTAATTTTTCTCAGATTTTGGATTTTAAATTTTAAATTTTCTCAGATTTCTTGTGTGCAGCCAGGCTTGATTCTGGGTTAGGTTTTGGTTTGCTTGCTAGGCTAGCAAGGCATCAGAGCTGCCTGGTCTAATGGTCTCTCTGTTCAATTGCTTTACCACTCTCATTTCCCAGAGAGAAGTGACCTGCCCAAGGCCCCACAATTGGCTTGGTGGAGGTTGGACTAGAGGCCAAAATGTTCAACAAGACGCTATGCTGCACCCAGGAAAAAACAGAGAAATAAGAAGGAAGGGAGGAATTAAGAGAATTAAACACGAAAAATGGGAAAATGAAAGAAAAGAGGAAGTTGTCTTTATTATTTTTAAGGTAAATTTATTTATTTAAAGAAAAAAATGAGTGGGCTCCTTGGTGGCTCAGTTGGTTAAGCGGCTGCCTTCAGCTCAGGTCATGATCCCAGGGTCCTGGGATCGAGTCCCGCATCGGGCTCCCCGCTCAGCAGAGCGCCTGCTTCTCCCTCTCCCTCTGCCTGCCTCTCTGCCTACTTGTGCTCTCTCTCTCTCTGTCAAATAAATAGATAAAATATTAAAAAAAAAGAAAAGAAAAAATGAGTGAAGTTGTCTTTATTATTTTTTTAAGGTAAATTTATTTATTTAAAGAAAAAAAATTTAAACTAAGCTTTACGCCCAACATGGGGCCCGAACTCACAATCCTGACATTCAGGAGTTGCAAGCTCCACGGAATGAGCCAGGTGGGCGCCCCTTTATTATGTTTCTCACACATAAAATAATCCATGTAACACGTGCGAGTCATAAAACACCAATAGAATGAACACCCTTGAACCCACCACCAAGCTAAAGACAAGAGATACCAATAACTGGTCTCCACTTAGGCCAGCTCTTCTGCGAGCTGGTTGCACGCTGAGTGCACCTGGGGAGCTGAGACAACCTCTCACGCCCTGAGAACCTGATGGGACTGGTCTGGAGTTTGGTCTAGGCATCTGGATTTACTTAATTTTTCTTCTTCTTTTTTTTTTTTTTTTAAAGATTTTATTTATTTGAGAGAGAGAGAGAGCACATGAGAGGGGGGAGGGTCAGAGGGAGAAGCACACTCCCCGCTGAGCAGGGAGCCCGATGCGGGACTCGATCCTGGGACTCCAGGATCATGACCTGAGCTGAAGGCAGTCGCTTAACCAACTGAGCCACCCAGGCGCCCCTAATTTTTCTTCTTTAAAGGCATCTGGACTTTTAAGACCTCCCCAGGGGATTCTCGTGTGCAGCCAGGCTTGAGAACCACGGATTTATAGTCTCCTCCCCTATCCTGTCCCCCTGACCTTCCCCCTGCAACCCTCACCTTCATCCCCCGCCAGGTAACCACCATTCTGAATTTTGCGGAGTAGCGAGTGTTCCTTTACCTTCATCCTTCCCTGTTTCCGGGACTAGCGACGTTTGCGATTGATCTCCCGCCCCCCACGAGAGGGCGCCAGAGAAAAAGACACAGCCTCTTTCCTCTCCGCGCGTTCGGTATCGCGCTGGAGGCGGCTTGGCCCTCGCGGCGCTCCGTCGTCGGTCCGTTGCCCCGGCAACGAGCGGGGAAACGGCCGGGGTTGGTGGCGCGCGGGCCGGCGGGACTGGCCGGCGTTGGTTGAGGCATGCCGGAGCGCGGCGGGGGCACTTTTCGGAAACTCCGGGGCGCGGAGAAACGTGAGTCGGAGGGTGGGCTCGGCCGGAGCCGGCGTGCGGGCGGGGACCCGCGGAGCCCGGCCGCAGTGGCCCCGCGCTGGCGGGAATCGCGGCGGGCGTCCGGGGACCCGCCGTCCCTGCGCGCTCTGGGTGCGGCGCCTTCCTCTGCAACCCCTTTGGTCATATGCGGACGTTGGGGCTGCAAGAAGGATGCCCCCGATTCGGGACCGGAGTCTCGTTTCTTGATTCCTGGTGCAAAGCTTTTCCACGGGCGGCTTCCAGGGCAAGGAAAAAATTATGTCCACCTTGCCACGGTTTCAAGACAGGTTGTAAACTGGCAGCCGAAGGCTGAACTGGGTCCATAGACGTAGATTATTTGCCCCCAGCTCTGAGCACTGAGCTTGAGGCTTGGCCTGGACGCACACCTACCCGTTTATTCCACAGACGTTCCATAAGCACGGTTCTAGCCAGGCACTGTGTAGACCCTGCCCATCGTGGCAGCTCCGGGGTCAGGGAAGGAGGTGCCTGGAGTGAGAGTGCTCTCTGCTTTCAAGTCTCCATCGTGTCCCCATTTTACTCCGTGACCCGGGCACATCGATTCCTCTCTGGGTCTCAGTTTTTCCATCTGTAAGTTGAGGGATGTGTCCTGCATGCTAATCCAGAACACTTCTAGCTGTGACAGCCGGGCTGGGCCTCTCCCTGGGCGCTGCCAGAGCCAGGGCGTGTTGGTCCCCACAGGCAACCTTTTGCTGTCTCCAGAGCCCAGGCCCTGGTCTGACCCCACATGAATTAGGATCCCAGCCCTTTCATTTCCTCTGCTTCCCGGCTCTGGTTTTGGGCAAGTCGCTTCACCGTTTTGAACTTGAGTTTGCTCACCTGCCAAATAATGGGGGGATTATAACAATAAAAAAGATCATATATGTCAAGAGCTTGGCACATATATATGTTCCTGAAATTATTACCCCTGTTACTTTGTGGAGAGTGTAGAAGTCCCCAGGTGTTTGGGCCAGCACTGCTGGGACTGGTCCCCTGTCGTCATCTGCAGCACCCTTGATGGTGTCTCGCTCACAGCTGGGTGCAGCCCAGGCTTATTTAAAGTGATGATTTGCAAATCATTTGACAGAGGCTGATGCCTGGGGGCCTGCACTGAGACTTTTTTGATGTCATTGGTCTGGAGCAGGGTGATTCCAGGGGGCAGCCAAGGGGTGAGGACCACTCATTAGGGGGCTGCAGCAGGCTCATTTTCCTACCATTGCCAGTTTCCTCAGATGGCACTCCCTACGCTGCCCTCCTACTGGTGCAGCCGGAGGCTCCTGGATCAGCAGATGGCCCGACAGCGACACCGAGAGCAGGAGGCCCGGCTTCGGCAGCAGTGGGACCAGAACAGCCGCTACTTCAGGACGTCTGATATCTGTAGTTCCAAACAGGCGGAATGGAGCTCCAAGACCTCCTACCAGCAGAGGTAACTTCAGTGACCTTAGGGGGACGGAGGCAGGAAGCCACTTGCTGGTCATGGCGTGTGGCTTTAAGAACCCGGGGGGTGGGGGTGGGGGAGTGTGGCTTAACAGCATGTTTTCTTGAGGAATTTGCTGGATGGCGTAAATTCCCTGCATGGTCATGGTTTTCCAACTGAAAATTGAAGAGGAAGATCATCAGTGAAATGATACATTTGCACTGAAAAAGAGAAAACAGTAAGAAATATATGCAGAATCTGGGAGTCTCCAGGTGACCCTTTATCCCCAGAGAGAACCACAATTAACAGGCTGATGCAGATCCTCCTGTACTTTTCCCCTGCTGTGTGTGTATAAATACGCACACACATATACATCCATTGTTGCAGAAATATATGTAAAAAACATGGAAGGTAAAAGCCTAGGCTTTGGAGTTAGACAGACCTAGATGGAAATCCTGACTGTGTCACTTGCTGTATAAATGAGCCTCAGTTTCCTCCTCAGTGAAGTGGGGCTACAGCAGAACCTACTTTGTAGGATTTATGAATCGGCGTATCGTACGTCGTACATGGTAATTGCCCAAGTGTTACCTAGTACTGTTGTTACGTGCATATGTGAGGCCACTGTACATTTTCTTATTGCGAAACCAAGATTCTGTTACGCATAGTGTTCTGTGACTTGCTGTCTTCACTTTGGCTGGAAGACACTTTCCTGTGTCGCCGTGTCACGTCCACCTCAGCCTCTTTGGCCGCAGAGCAGAGCAGAGCGTGCTGCGTGTGGCTGTCGTGTGACTGATGGAGGGAGGGCTCCTTCCCACCCAGCATGCATGCCTATCAGCGGGAGAAGATGAAGGAGGAGACGAGGAAGCAGCTGGAAGGCAGACGGGACAGACTCAGGCAGCTGCTGCTGGAGGAGCAGGACCTCCTGGCCAGAGAGCTGGAGGCGTCGCGGCTAAGCGTGGACTTGCAGGAGGGAAGGATCCGGGAGCGGTGCGGCAATCTGAAGTCGGCCCGAGAAGAGCAAAGGAAACTGGTAACTTCTTCTAGCCCCATAGGAGCCAACAGAGCCGGAGTGTCCCCAGCCCGTCAGTGAGGCGCTTGTGGGGCCACCCCCGGGCACTGGTCTGATGAGCCAGCAGTTAACGGCAGAGCCAGCAGGGGGACGGGCGTGTGCTATGTTGTTCTTCGTGCGTGTTGGGCACGAGCCACCTCTATTCTCTTTGGCCCCTTAAATCACCACCTCTGAGTCCTTTGTCTTTCTTCCAGTCCCGTGGTCCCGCAAAGGCTTGGCACTGGTATACTTTATCTTCCGAGTACTTGTGGGGAATGGTGAGCCCCAGTCTACGTATTGAAACCTGCTGTATCTTTTGCAACAGGTCTGTCCCATCTGGGATCCATCTGTAGCATCACATCTTGGCACCCTTCCATCACCATTGTGGCAGTCATTTGTCAGGGCTGTCTGGTTCCATTCTGGTGTCTCCCAGAGCCGGGGGTGCAAGGCGGGCAGGAGGTCTGAAGGGCAGGTGCAGGGACAGCGAGCCGGTGGAGGGGCTCTCAGCCTGAGCTGACTTCCCCTGGGGGTTATCCAAAATGTGAATGGATTTGAAAAGTGACATCAGGCTTTGTGTTTTCTTGACAGATTGCTGAACAACTTTTATATGAACACTGGAAAAAGAACAACCCCAAACTTCGAGAGGTGAAAACCTTTGATTTGCCTAAGTAGATGAAATCATGGTTCCCTTCTTGTTTGTAAACTTGCATCTCTTGCTGGGGTGAAACAGGAGAGGACACCCCAGCCCCCTGGAAAATGCACCAGGCAGATCTGGTTCGTTTGGTGTTTAGCCAACACTTACCGAACATTTGCTGCATGGTCTAGCACCTGGGCGTGTAGAGATTAGAGGGGGTCCCCGCTCTTCAGGAGCTCGCAGCCCAGTGCAGGAGACTGGGCAGCCCATTACAGTGCAGGCTGTAGTGGGCTGGGCAGGCCCGGAAAGATGTGCACTGGGGCAGTGCCCCCAACTCAGTTGGGGGTCAGAGAGGCATCTCAGAGGAGTTGCTGGAGTGGAGGAGTTTGGGCTTTTGCCTGATGGTGTGGAGGTGAGGAAAGGACCCTCCAGACTGAGGCAACTGAGTGAGGATCAGGCCCAAGCAAGTCCAGGGAGCAACAGTGGCTGAGAGGTTGTGCCGTCAGAGAAGGAAGGGGGACTGCAAGAGTTGAGGCTGGTGAGGCAGGCGGGCCCAGACCCCGGCCAGCCTTGTGTGGCCTTCTCCTGGAAGCATGGGGAGCACCTGGATGATTTTAAGCAGGGGTACAGTGGGAGCCAGCTGCATTTCAGGGAGCAATAACTTTGGCAGCAGTGTGGAGGTTGCAGGACGGGGCGAGGCCAGGGCAGTGATGGTGGAGGCCAGAATGGGGTAGCAGCAGAAAGGAGGACAAGGGGCGAGACCTTGGGGGCAAGGGAGGGTGGGGCTGGTTTGAATGGCATCATTCCACCGAGACTGGGCCAGAAGAAGACCCGTGATGATGTCAGTAATTTATTTCAGTTTAAGCTTTGTGTCTTTGTTTGGTGGGATGAGTTTATTCATAATTATAGTTAGAAATGGCTAGTCACTAAGTAAGGGAGCAATTCTGTGCTTTTGAGTCTTGTGCAGTTAGCATTAAGACTTTCCCTGGTCCTTTGAGGTTTAGGTAGGTGCTCCAAAGTCTTTTACTCAGAAATGTTTATTTAGAACACTCAAATTAGTTACAAATATTTACATTTGTAAGTCAAGAAAGAAATTAAAACTTTTTATAGACAATTTCCCAAACAAAAGCTTTTGGACAGTGCTATAATTCATTTTCTGATCCAAAAGATTCTCTAAACCCAAATCTCTCTTTTTTTTTTTTTTTAAGTAGACTCCTCGCCCATCGTGGAGTTCATTGTGGGGCTTGAACTCAGGACAGGACCTGAACTGAGATTGAGAGTCAGATGCTTAACCAACTGAGCTGCCCAGGCAACCCCCGAAATCTCTTCTTAATCACCCCAAATGTGTTGCATCTGTTGCTACGGGAGTACATGTTTATACACCTCCGCTTTGCAGAGGGAGTTTGGAGGAGCCAGGCGAAAGGCTGAGCCTGTTCCTCAGCTAGCTCTGGTGGCCCTGGGGCCTGGCATGCTCTGGAGCAGCCAGGGGTGGCCTTTCAGATCCGATTTCCATTTCAGTGTCCGCTGACCGGCTCCTGCTCAATCCCAAGGGTCCCGGCAGAAAAATTTGTGCTCCTTTGTTACAACTCGTACGATTTGTTTAAAACTGCCTGGTCCTTTAAGTCAGTAAACACTGACTGGCATTCAGACTGTACATGTTGGGGTCTCCTTGTGCTCCCCTGTAAGGTACCTGGGCCTCCCTGAGTCCTCGTGTAGGGAACTTAGGGTCGCTGCGTTTCGCAGCGCACGTCTGTCACATGAACCAGTGAGGAAGTTCGTCTTCTCTGCCTTCTCACCCTCAGATTGAATCAGCCCTTCACAAGGAGCATGTGATAAACTCTTGGAAAATGCAGAAAGAAGAAAAAAAACAGGTGTGGTATATGACTTGGGAAATAGCCCTCCGCGCTGTGGTGGGCGTGCTGTGCCTCCACGGCTTGGAAGTTTCCTTGTTTTTGATGTTAATGACTCCGATCCAGGAATAGACTTGATCTCAGCTTATGTAACGTGCTAACACTGAACGGTGGCTGCTCTTACACGTACGATGGTCCGTTGTGCTCGTTCCCGGGGCAGAATCACACCAGCTGACCAGGGTTGGCCCCGGGCAGGTGCAGTGCTCATCTGAAAGGTCACTGTTGTTGCTGGCAGTCTCTTTTGACATAGTTTGCAACCTTGGCTTACAGCAGCACCTCTGGGGACAAAAGTCCACACCTCTGTGAACCCATAGCTGTGCCTCTGGGTTAATTTTGGAGAGTATTGTGCTGACTTTGGGAAGGGGAAGGAACCCTGCCATTCTTGAGCCCCTGCTCTGTGCCAGGCCCTGTGCTGGGTACTTTCACAGCATCGTCTCTGAGGGCAGCATCACTCCCATGATTCCCACCGTGAGAACAGAGCCCAGGAAGACGCACCATTGCCCAGGGTCACCAGGCTGATAAGTGGCATGACCCACTCTGGCGTAGACATGTCCGAATGAGGGATAGCGGCGGGGAACTGGGTCTTTGCTGGCCGTGTTACAGATACTGACCTCCTGGCTTCCTTTGGGTCCATGTAGCAAGAAGCCACCAGAGAGGAAGAGAACAAACGGTATGAAAATGAGCATGAACGGGCCCGAAGGGAAGCGCTGGAGCGGATGAAAGCAGAAGAGGAAAGGAGGCAGCTGGAGGGCAAGCTCCAGGCTGAGGCACTGCTGCAGCAGATGGAGGAGCTGAAGCTGAAGGAGAAGGAGGTGAGGGCACGGTCCTGGCCGCACAGCCTCCTCGGTTGCAGCTGCCTGTCGTTAGAAAATGGGCATGTGGAAAGCGGTGCTGAATAGGTTCTGTGGGGGGGCGGGGGGATGATTCTAAGACATGCAACAATGCTGGGCTCTCCCTTCTCACATGTATTCCTAGCTGTGGTTTTTCCATCCTCCTAGGTTGTATGCCCAGATTCTAGAATGTTCATGATACGGAGAGAATACCTGTTCTCTTAGGTGTGTTTCCAGAGTGGCTGTGTGAGAACCTTCTTAGAACTTGGATTTTCCAGGGCACCAGATAGACTTGACTTAGTCAGATGTCCTAGCACACAGCTATGGCTCTCCCCAGCTAGCAGGTTTGGGATCTCAAGGCATAAACTGTGAGGGTCTTTGGTTCAGGAGGCTGTTTTGAGGATACTGTGCAGTTTCCCTGAGCTAGATTCCTGGGCTGGATCTTCCCATTCAGACAAGGGGAAGCCTGTCCTTCCTCAGGCCCAAATGATTCAGGAAACAGGTCCTTAATGCCCACCATCTGCTTGATGCTTGATGCCAAGCACTGTGCTAGGCCCTCACGGCGGGAACTGTGTTGGGTGGGGGAGACAGGTTAAGTCACAGTAAGGTGTGGATGAATGCAGGGTCCCGTGGGAGCATGGAGCATGGGTCTCGTCCTTGTCCACAGGCCCGGGAAAGGCTCTTGCAGGAAAGGAGTGAGCCAGGCCCAGGGCTCAGAACCCAGAGGTGGGAGGGCGTTCTGATCACCCCCGGCCAGGCCAGCCCTGCTGCAAATGCAGATGAAGAATGAAGGGAGCTCTGATTCTGATGACCTTAATTGGATTTAACTGTCGTCACCACAGGCCACCAAACTGAAGAAGGAGCAGGAGAATCTGCTAAAGCAGCGGTGGGAGCTGGAGAGGCTGGAGGAAGAGAGGAAGCAGATGGCAGCCTTCCGGCAGAAGGCAGAGCTGGGGTGTGTGCAAGAAGGGCCCCCAGCAGCTGCCCTGGCCAGGCGGGCGAGCCTCTCACTTGCCCAGACTTGCATGGGTACCCCAAACCAGAAAGGAGACAGTCTGTAGTAAGCAGCTGTCTGACCTCCAGTAATTGTTCATAAGACACTGAAGGCAGCCCCTATTTTGCTCATTTCTAGACGCTTTTTGAAACATCAGTATAACGTGCAACTCAATAGGCGTACCCAGCAGATCCAAGAGGAACTGGTGAGTCTGAGTCAGCCTGGCATTTCTTTCACCCTCTTCGGAAAAAAATGCTTTCCGTTGCTCAGTAGCTGAGTGCGTTCTCATAATAAGACACCAGGGGAGATTCCGCCTTGATCAGCCCTGCAATCCCTGCCCCTCCCCAGAGGTCTCCTCCTAGATATATTTACATGATGCCCAGAGAGAGAAGCGGTGGGGTTCTTTACAAGTTGAAGTGGCATTCCTCAGTATATTTACCTACCGGTAAATATAGATGCTGGGAGGGAGCCTGTTCTTTCATACTAGCTGCTCAGTCTTCCTGTTAGGTATGTCGGTGGGCTCGCTAGTGACGCAGGGACGGGGAAAGTGAATGGGCCAGCCCATTCGCCTCCATCCCTGCTTGCTGCAGTCAGGGCGGGCCGGGGGGCGCCTCTGCTGGGGCTCGAGCGCATTTTTCCCATCCCAGGACCTCCAGAGCTCCCCCGTTCTTTTTTTTTTTTTTTTTAAAGATTTTATTCATTTATTTGACAGAGAGAGACAGAGCGAGAGAGGGAACACAAGCAGGGGGAGTGGGAGAGGGAGAAGCAGGCTTCCTGCTGAGCAGGGAGCCTGATGTGGGGCTCAATCCCAGGACCCGGGGATCATGACCTGAGCCGAAGGCAGACGCTTAACGACTGAGCCACCCAGGCACCCCTAGAGCTCCCCCGTTCTTTACAGCGCCCCACTGTAGCAATGTGCACCACAGCCGGTTCCCCACCGGTGCGTATTGGGGTCGTTTCTGGTTTTTCCCTCTTACAGCACAGCTGCAGTGAGCATTTTGTGCACATGTCTTTGTGCCTTTGGGTCTCCAGTCTGTGTTCTCAGAAGTAAGATTGCTACCCAGCTGTGTTCTCAAAAGCTGTGCTACCAGGCCTGTCCAAGGGCAGGGACATGCGTGTGGTGGCAGAGGGTTCTCCCTTGGAAAGGGAAAGCTCCTGGGCCTCTCCTGCATTGTTTTAAACCATCCCTAAGTGGTTAAACCCTGACCCTTCCCGTCTCTATCTTGGGAACCATCGGAAGCCTCACGAATGTCTGCTCTCAGTGCCGAGTGCAGAAAGGCGGGGCCGTGGGAGTGGGAGGCAGGGGCCGCAGAAGGGCTCCCCCCGCTCCCCCTGTGCTTCCTCGGCCACCCTCCAGGAGGCGGACAAGCGCATCCTGCAGGCGCTCCTCGAGAGGGAGGACGAGAACCAGCGCATGCAATTGGCCAAGAGGGCGCAGGCTGTGGCCGACGCGGCGTGGATGAAGCAGGTCATCGAGGAGCAGCTGCAGCTGGAGAGGGAGCGGGAGGCAGAGCTGCAGCTGCTGTTGAGGTGAGAGGCGGCCCCTGCGTGCGCCCGACACTCCTGGCCTCTCCTCTGGTCCCTCACGTCCCCACAGGGCACCACAAGGGTCTCCCTTGTGACCGAAACATCTGCCCTTGCTCAGCTATCCGTCGTGACGAGCACATGTGTGCTAACGGACCTGGCTTTCGGGGGTGTTGCCCTGAAGTTCTCTCAGGTGGAAATCATCAGGGTTTAGAGTAAGGGTCTGTTCCTTTAAGATCTTAGAAACTTGATAGGAAGCTGTTATAAACTGTGGAGATGCTGAATGCTTCGTAGGTCTGTTAGAGATGGTTCTGGATCCTAAAAACCTAGGAGATTGAAATAATCTAACAGGTAACATTTATTGAGCACTGACTGTGGGCCAGACACTGTGCAAAGCGCTTTCCTATCCTCATGTTATTGGCTCCTGACATCGTTGGGACGTGAGGAGCAAGGGGATGGGGCTCAGGCACCGCCGGGCTCCTGTCCCTCTCCAGGGTCCTGACGGCTAGAGTCCCCTTGGTGTCCAAATGGCGTGGGTGCAGGTCATCCCAGTTGTGTTTCATAAGGAGGCGGGAGCATAACCAAGGCAGCCCAAAGTACTTACGGGAGGAATACTCTCGGTGAGCTGGTCCGGAATTGTCACCTGTGAAGAGTTGGGTGCAGAAGTTGGTGTGAAGGTTGGCCTCACAGAAGATGTGTGGACCTGTGTGCCAGAGCCCTGTTGGTTCTTTAGTTGTCTTCTGCCGTGGGTGGTGGTAAGGAGCCTGCTCTCACCCGCTCTGTGTTCCCAGGGAGGAGGCCAAGGAGATGTGGGAAAAGAGAGAGGCAGAGTGGGCCCAGGAGAGGAGCGCCCGAGACAGACTGATGCGTGAGGTAATGCCGGCTGCGAGCACATACTGACCCTGCCACATATTCTGGAACACAAGCCTCTCTGGTCATCATAAAGAGACTTTTAACGTCATTATGAGAGTAGTATCAACTTATTCGAAAAATATTCATAAGTACAGGAAGTAAACGCCAAGTCACCCAGACCCCCCAGCATCTACAGTCATCATTACTTGATTTCCCTCAACTCTTCGTGTTTCTGTGCATAGTGTGTGTTTCTGAGCATTCGCTATTATACTGTGCTGTTTGATTTCAAGCATTCTAACATACTATTCACATCTTCCTTGTAGATATTTTGACGACAGCATATTATATCATGTGGGTGTGTTGTAGTTTGTGTTCTACTCCCCTCTTGTGGGTATTGTTTTTTTCCTAATTTTGAGGCATTACAAGAAACATTAAAGTAAAAATCTTGGGGCATAAGGCTTTCCATTTTCCGTATTTAGGATTTTTTCCCTTGAGGTGTAATAACCAGAAGTGGATTCTTGGAGAAGCGTAACTGTTTTCTTTGTCAGGATTTAAGTAATACACATAAGGCATACCCCATTTAGAAGGAAATCTTTTAGGGGCTCCTGGCTGGCTCAGTTGGTGGAGCATGTGCCTCTTGATCTCGGGGTCGTGAGTTTGAGCCCCACATTGTGGGTAGACATTCTTAATAAAAAAAATTTTTTAAAAAAGGAAATCTTTAGAAAAAAGCCTTCGTTATTCGTGTATGGAAAGTTAAAGTGGTTTAAAATGGAAATTCTATTTTGTGCATGTCCTTTTCGAATCCATGGGAAGTCGGGTTCCCACTGGTGCTGTCTCACTTTTATGAGTACCGATACTCTGCAGCATGTTTTGATTTTCCCTATTAAGAATGTTCCTCCTCATTGTGGCCACTTATGTGTCTCCTCCGGGGAGCATAATTGTTGGGTGTGGCAGGTGGCTTCCCACCCTTCCTGGTTCTTGAGGCCTGACCATGCTCTGGATGTAATCCTCTGCTGTGGCCAGGTCTCAAACCCAGGTTTCTGCCACTCTAAGCCGTAAATTTAAATCCAAAAGGCTGAGGGGAGGACCCAGACTCTATCTCTGGTCATCTGCATGGCTTGTGGTTTCTTTTTCTGGAACTGATGGGGAGTGAGACTCACAACCTTGTTGCTTCGTTTTCTGCCCTGGGGAGGGAGCTCCATCCCCTCCTCTGACCTTGTCGTTGCCCAGCGGTCTCTCCCTACCGCACAGTGTGTGCATTTTGTATGTGGTGGGGACGGGTGGGAAGCGGGGCTGACACTGTGTGGGCCAGTCCTGTGATCTGGACTTGCCCTCACCTGGCATATTCAGGCCTGAGGCTGAGGACAAGGCTGGGTCTCAGGGCAGCTGTGGCCTGTCCACGGCTTACAGGACAGGTACTTGTTAGCGTCACACTGAAATCTGCCCTTTGCCTTCCCGCTGTGGGTAGGTTCTGACAGGGAGACAACAACAAATACAAGAAAAGCTTGAACAAAACCGACGGGCACAAGAGGAGTCCCTGAGACACAGGGAGCAACTTATTCAGAATCTTGAGGAAGCCAGAGAGTCAGCTCGTCGTGAGAAAGAGGAGAGTGAAGAACTGAAATCAGCCAGGAAACAGGAGCTGGAGGCCCAGGTGGGCTCAGCCGGGGGGTTGGGGGGGATAGGGGTGGGAGGCAGCCTCAGCCAGGGGGATGCGAGCTGCAGGTAGCATTGGCCCCCGCCCCACTGTGGCACCAGATGCCAAGACCCTTGACTTATTTTCGCAGCCTGGCACTAGGACCTTGTCCGAGAAGCCCACGTTATTGAGCTCAGTGCACCCCTTTTCCTTTCCAGCTGAAACCCTGATCCTCCTGATTAGTCCCAGCTTTACTCCAGGTCCTCCGTCTGTGTGGGAGCAAGGCTGTCAGGCCTGGCCAGCCTCTCTCTTTGCTTGCTGGGACACAGTTGATTGAGTTCAGGACCTGACAGGGAGCAGAGAATAATCTTCCAAGCACGTGGGCACACCGGACCTTTTTACCAGCTGCATGTTACACACACAGCCTTTCCAAGTTCATAAATGCCCTTCCTTCTGGCACTTGCCGTCATTGTGGCTTAGCTGGGCTTCTCCAGCTGGCAGAGGCCCACGGACTTTCCCCCATGATTCGAGGCAGGGTCTGCCCTGGGAGCATTGTCCTGGGTGACTGTGCTCTTGGTGGCCAGGTTGCAGAGCACCAGCTGCAGGCATGGGAAGAGGACCAGCAGCAGGAGGAGGAAGAAGAGGCGGCGAGGCAGGCAGAGCGGCTCACCGACACCCTGCTACAGCAGGAGGCGAAGACGATGGCCAAGCGGGGCTACCAGCCCAAGGTAGGGAGTCTGCAGGGGACGGGCCCCGCTGCCGAGCCACCACCCAACCTGGCCCCTGCCGTCCCAGGCCTGTTTGTAGCCCTGTGCTTGGCTCCGGTTCTTCCTCGCTCCTCCTCGGTTTCACCCTTTCTTGGCCAGTAGGGAACCGTGACACATGGCTGGTCCAGTCCTTCTTTGGGCTTGAGGTGATCTTGCTATGGTCCTGAATGCTGAGCTGTGGGCCGTGTGGCCCCCGCTGGGGCCGGGAGCCATCTAAGAGCTCCGGCGCCGTGGGTGGAAGGTGAAGGAGCCGTGGTGCTAGGTCTCCGCTGTGCAGACAGCAGACCCCAGCTGAACAAGGGCCCGGTGTCCCTTCTTCTCAGCACCTCTACCTGCCCCCTCCCCACTCTGCGATCCTCTCTTCTCCTTCCGTCTTTCCCTGTCCCTCGAAGTACATGAGTCAGCCCTGCGCAGGACAGCACAGGGCGCACAGACAAGCCGAGGCCAGCACGCCGCTCCCCGGGAGCTGGTAGCAGAGGACCGGGAACCGAGGGACGGCCAGCAGGCCCGTCGCCTCTGTTGCGGTTCCAGGGCCGCTCTGGCTCCCCGTCCCCCACCCCCGCCCCCGCCCGGCGCTCTAAAGCGCTGTAAGACCAGGAGGCTGGCTCCTTTGTGGGCCGAGAACTCTGGGAAGCCGACGAGGCAGGTAGAGCGGGTGCTGCACCAGCTGCAGACCCATTTTGTCCTGGCTGGCTGGGGCTCTCGGGGCGCAGGGAACAGCATATTCTCAACTCACTTGACCAGGGATCAGTGAGTGCCTTGGGACCAGGCTTTCACAGAGCGCACGTGAAAACATTATTTAAAAAGGTAATAGGGGCGCCTGGGTGGCTCAGTCGGTTAAGTGTCTGCCTTTGGCTCAGGCCATGATCCCAGGGTGTTGGGATCGAGCCCTGTTCGGGTTCCCTGGTTGGTGGGGAGTCTGCTTCTCCCTCTCCCTCTTTCCCCCTGCTCCTGTTCTCTCTCTCGCTCTCTCTCTGTATCTCAAATAAATGAATAAAATCTTTAAAAAAAAAGGTAATAAAGTGTCTCAGTTATGGCTTAGGGTCAAAGCTTTGTCACTTATAAATGAAAAAGCCATTGATTTATACGGCGCTTTCAGCTCTTAAGTTGGGATTAATTCCCAGTGCTCCAGCGATTGGCTGATCTGATCAGGCTTGTGTTTTCTTTCTTTCCTCAGCCCTACGGACATCCCAGAATTGCTTGGAACTGACTTTGTTGGGAATGTAAGCACAGAGAGCAGGGACGCTGAGGCCTGTGATACGCAGGTGCCAGACAGTTGTACCGTGTTCTGTTTGAGTGTTCGGGTCACTGCGGAACAGTTCAGTGAGCCTGTTTGGGTCCACAGTTACCCAGAGCAAGGGCCTCACCGGACTAAGGGGTTGTGGAGAGGCAGCACCCAGCAGGAGGCCCTTTCCTGCCTTTCGTATCCAAGGATGGGGCTCTTAGAGTCACACACTGACAGTACTGTCACGCAGTCCCTAGACTTAGAAAGTCAGACTCTGCAACCGTGCTAGGAGCTGTGCGGTGTGTCCCGCGACAGGATATATGGTTTCCTGTTGCCTCAAGCTAATTGTCCACCGCCAGTGAAGACTCCCACTGGAGAGATGAGGGAAGTTTCTCAGTTCTTAAACTTGCTATTTAAATTTCATTATTTGGTTGCGAGCAAACTCGTAAGTCTTGGTGCAGTTTATTTCAGGGTTTATTAATTTAGTGATCCCAGAAGGATCACATCTTGTTTTCTGGAAGAAAAAAAGCTATGAACTCTGAGACAGTCTGATGTGCTCCACAGATGCTTTCTGGAAAGGTAGCAAGAAGTGGGTGTTTCCTCCTTCAGGAAACATTTGGTAGAACTTCCGTAGAGTGCCCTGTGTGGGCTGATCCCAACATGTATGTGACTGAGCCCCAGAAGGGAGCCTCAAAAGGCCACCTGGGTGGCTAACCTTCGGGCATAACACTTTGGACCTCTTGTGTCTTGGGAAGGTCTTGGCAATATGCAGCCTTGTGGGATGTGTGTGTGCAGAGGAAGGGGCACTGAGCCTGAAGGAAGTAGATCACACTCAACCAGACTGACCAGAACTGCCTCTTCCCACTGTTCTATCAACATGACACAGTTCTAGAGTAATCTCGGCATGGAGTACAAGTTCCCTGCAGCAATAATCATATTTTTATGACTTGTATTTTTTTTTTTTTTTCAGATTCTTCCTCTGAGGTTTCAGTTTTCATTATATTGTATTTAAGATTGCCTGTCTCAGTAAATTACAGCTAATTATAGGGCTATGTGCCAGGTTATTAAAAACCTGAGTTTATTAAAAAAAATCCTGAGTGTAAGGGCTGCATTGCCTTCCCCATGCATTGTGCTATAAAAACAAATGGAGCAGCAAACTGCATCCTTAATATGTTTTTCTTTTTCTTGTCTTGAATTTCTTTGGCTATGATCCCCTGAGCACCACTTTCATTATGCTTGCTTTTATTTGCTTCCCGTTTGAGACATTCATTTATTGTGAAATAAAGTTCTGGTGTGACGGCATGGCTTCTTGGCTTTGTTTTTGTTGCTTTTAGTAACTGTTGCAGAGTGGGCCCTATAGAATGAAAGATCTTTACTGACTCAATCACATCTCTTACAGCTTTGCGTATTTCCTACGACTGCTCACAAGAAAAATGAGTATTTTTCCTGTGGAAGGGGTGTTGTCTCCCCTCTAATTTCCACTGGATCCTCTTTTAAGTAAACCACAGGGAATTATTAGGAATCATATGCTGTCTGAGCTCCAGTATAGATTTGATGTGGACCGAATGCCTGGTAAATAGGCACGTAAATATTTACTGAATATTTCTTATTTCTTTCAATTTCTTATTTTTGAAGCCTTTTTTGTGACGCTGGTTCTCTGCCTAATTCATTTAAATGTTTCCTCTCTAAACTTGGCCAAAATAATAGTTTCTAAGTTTAGAGCTTCCATTGCCTTCCTGCTTCTAGTATAGCCCAGAGTCGTCTTCTCTCATGTATAGTTTGTGCCATGATTATGTACGTATATTGTCTTTGTTGTTTTTAAGCTTAGCACCTTTTCCCATTCCCTGTAAAATTGGTGATTTTTAGATTATTCTTCACAGATTCTTCTATGAAGTTCAGTTTCTTTAGAACAGATGGTGCTGAAGCTAATATATAGTAATATATAAGTAATTCTTATTTTCTGTATTTTCACTCTTTGTGCTCGTTCAGCATATACTTTGAGTTACTTTTTGTGAAGGGTGTCAGTCTGTGTCTTTATTCATTTTTGGGGGCACGTTGCTGTCCAGTTGTTCCAGCACCATTTGTTTAAAAGATTACTTGCTTCGGGGCACCTGGGTGGCTCAGTCGTTAAGCATCTGCTTTCGGCTCAGGTCATGATTCCGGGGTCCTAGGATCGAGCCCCGCATCGGGCTCCCTGCTCAGCAGAGAGCCTGCTTCTCCCTCTCCCACTCCCCCTGCTTGTGTTCCCTCTCTCACTGTGTCTCTCTCTGTCAAATAAATAAATAAAATCTTAAAAAAAAAAAAATTACTTGCTTCATCATATTGCCTTGGTTCCTTTGTCAAAGATCAGTTGACTATATTTATGTCAGTGTATTTCTGGGCTCCTTAATCTGTTCCATTGATCTGTTTATTCTTTGGCCAGTATCACAAACTTCTATAGTCCATGCCACCGTCTTGATTACTGTTGCTTTATTGTAAGTCTTGAAGTTGGGTATTATCATTTCTTTGTTTCCATCAATATCGTATTGGCTCTTCTGGGTCTTTTACCTCTCCACATAAACTTTAGAATCAGTTTGTTGATATCCATAAAATAACTTGCTAGATTTTTTTAAATTTTTTTTATTTTTAAGTAATCTCTCCTCCCAATGTGGGACTCGAACTTGCAACCCCAAGATCAAAAGTTGCGTGCTCCACTGACTGAGCCAGCCAGTCTCCCCCCAAGTGACTGGGATTGCATTGAATCTATAGATCAAGTTGGGAAGAACAGACATTTTAAAAATCTTCCTGTCCATGAACATGGAATATATCTTTGTGAAACTTCATCAGAATTTTGTTTTTCTTCATATAGCTCTTATACATTTTTTTTTTTTAGATTTATACCTACAATGTTTCATTTTTTGGGGGTGCTAATGTAATTGGTATTGTGTTTTTAATTTCGAATTCCACCACTTCATTGCTGGTGTATAGGAAAATGATTAACATTTATACATTAACTTTCTATCCTATAACCTTGCTATAATTGCTTATTGGTTCCAGGAGTTTTTTTGGTTCTTTCAGATTTTCTACATAAAGCTGATCATGTCATCTGTGAACAAAGACAATTTTATTTCTTCCTGATCTGTATCTTTTACTTCCTTTTCTTGTCTTACTGCATTAGCTAGAACTTCTGTGTTGAAAAGGAATGGTGAGGGTGCCTGGGTGGCTCAGTTGGTTAAGCGACTGCCTTCGGCTCAGGTCATGATCCTGGAGTCCCGGGATCAAGTCCTGCATCGGGCTCCCTGCTCGGCAGGGAGTCTGCTTCTCCCTCTGACCCTCCTCCCTCTTCCTGCTCTCTGTCTCTCATTCTCTCTGTCTCAAATAAATAAATAAAAAATCTTTAAAAAAAAAAAAAAAAAAGGAATGGTGAAAGGGGACATCTTTGCTTTGTACCTGACCTTAGTGGGAAAGCTTTGAGTTTCTCACCATTATGTATATTAGCTATAGGATTTTGTAGATTTTTTTTTTAAATCAAGTTGAAGAAGTTCCCCTCTCTTCCTAGTTTGCTAAGAGTTTTTATTATGAATGGGTATTGGATTTTTTTCACATGTTTTTTCTGCATCTATTGATATGATGTGATTTTTCTTTTTTAGATTGTAGATGTGATGGATTACAATAATTGATTTTTGAATGTTGAACCAGCCTTGCATAGCTGGGATAAATCGAACTTGGTTGTGGTATATAATTCTTTTTATATACTATTGGATTCAATTTGCTAGTATTTTGTTGAGGATTTTTGCATTTATGTTCATGAGAGAGATTGATCTGTAATTTTCTTCTCTGGTAATGTCTTTGTCTAGGTTTGTCTTTAGGGTAATGCTGGCCTCACAGAATGGGTTTTGCATTTATCTTCTGAAAAAACCTAAGGGGAATTGGTATACGTTCTTCCCTAAATGTTTGGTAGAATTCACCAGTGAATCCATCTGGGCCAGCCTGGTGCTTTATTTTTGCAGTTATTAATTACTGATTGAATTTTGTAAGTAGATACAGGCCTGTGCAGATTGTTTCTTATGTAAATTTTGACAGGTTATGTATTTCAAGGAGTCGGTCCATTTCCTCTAGGTTATCAATTTGTGGGCATGGAGGTGGTCATAGTATTCCTTTATTGTCATTTTGATTTTGATGTTCATGGGACCTGTAGTGATGTCCCCTCTTCATTTCTGCTTTAGTGATTTGTATCCTCTCTTTTTGGCTTAGCCTGTCTAGAGGCTTATTGATTTTAATTTTTTTTACTTTTATTTTTATATATATATTTTTAAAGATTTTATTTATTAGAGAATGAGATAAGGCATGAGAGGGGGGAGGGTCAGAGGGAGAAGCAGACTCCCCGCTGAGCAGGGAGCCCGATGCGGGACTCAATCCCAGGACTCCAGGATCATGACCTGAGCCGAAGGTAGTTGCTTAACCAACTGAGCCACCCAGGTGCCCCGAGGCTTATTGATTTTATTGATCTTTCTAAAGAACCATCTTTTGGTTTTGTTGATTTTTCTCTATTGATTGCCTGTTTTCTAATTCTACTCTAGTTAACATATACATTATGTAATAGGCTTACAGTTAACATATTTTTTGTTTCATCTGGGTTGATAATACAAATGAGGTTCTTTGGGCACTTTTGCAGTCACTCTGGCCTTTGCCAGTTGTAACCCAAGGAGTGCCAGCCTTTAGGCCCAGGCTTCTCTTTACCACACAGGCCCTTCCTACATGATGTGAGCCAGGCCTATGGCTTCCAGCGTCATCTCCACATCAGTATGTCCTAGATCTGTATCTCTAGTCCAGACTTCTATATCCACCACCCCTTTGATATCCCCACTTTGATATGCATCTCAAAGGCACCTCCAACTCAGCACAAGACTATCAAATGATCTGTCCTACTAAACTCCTATCATTAAAGAAAACAACAGCAACAACCTGGCTCTTCTCCGGTGTTCTCAGATAAGTGAATGGTACCCCCATCCATCCTGCCAGCTGCAGGAGCCATAAGCCTAGGGGCACTGAGTCCTGTGACTTTGAGCTCCAGCAACCTCCAAGTCCATCTGCTTTACTCCCTCTGCCCCTATCTTTCATGGCTACCACTGACTTCTGTCTGAAGTCACCCATCCACCTCACTTTCTTCTCCATCCTGCAGTCAGAGATCTTTTACAAACACACACCTGAAATGAACATCTCCCACCTTCTTCAACAGTGTCCCTCTGCTTTTAGACCAAAACTCAAATGCTTTTGTGGCCTACCAGGGAAGGCCTTCCAGGGGCCCTCCCTGAATGTGCCATCCTGCCTCAACTGGCTGGGAAATAACAATCGAATTGGGACAAAGATGTTTCTCACAGCATTATTTATAGTAAGAGAAACTGATAACCTGGATGTCCAACACTAGGAGGCTGCTTGAATTTGGGATGTTATGCAGTGAATTAGAAGGAAATGGAATGTTTTTTTTTTTAATTCTGGAGAAATGTTCATGCTGTGTTAAATTAAAAAGTCCAAAAGTGGGGTGTCTGGCTGGCCCAGTCATGAATTTGAACCCTATGTTGGGCTAGAGATTACTTAAAAATTTTTTTAATTAAAAAAAGTCCAAGAGCAATATTTATATATTTCCCCTTTTAAGGAAGCAAAACACTCTGCTGTTGGTACTTCTAAAAGTTGGGATTATGACTATTTTTCATTTTGGGTGCTTTTCTATATTTGACACAGAACATAACCCTTGAAACAAGGGGGAAATGTTTTTTAAAGAACGAAAAAGGCAAATTCTAGAGATAATTAACAAAACTACCTGACAAAACTAAACAACTCTGCCCTGTTCCTTAAAGAGATACTTCCTACCTTCTGGCAGGGAAAATTAAGGACTCTTTCCCAAATATGGATGTGGGAGGTTTCTGGTGAGGCCACAGTCCTACGATGGCCTCTGGGGCCCCTATCGAGGCCCCTGGCCACTGAACAACTTGGAGGGGTATTACGAAAAAGGCAGTGTCAAAAGGTCACGTGCTGTATGATTCCATTTGTATAACATTCTTGAAAGGACAAAATTGCAGAGCTGGAGAACAGATTCATGGTTGCCAGGGCACAGGGTGTGACTCTCAAGGGGCAGCATAAGAGAGACGTCTGTGGTGATGCGGGAGGTCTGTCTTCACTGTGATGTGACAGGAACGGGAACCTACATGTGGATACGACAGCACAGAACTACACACACACGTGCATATAAAGTCGTGACATCTGAATAAGGTCTGTGATTGTGCCAAAATCAGTGTCCTGATCTTGATATTGTACTACAGTTT